CACGGCCGGCTCATGTCCAGCTTTAATCAAAATGCATAGGGGTATTTTCAAGAGCTAGTTCCAATCTTGGACATTTGCGAGCATAAATATCTATCACATCAGGATGAGATGCTAGAATCTTAAAATCTGGCAAGGACATAGTTGTTTTTCAGTGGTTCAGTGAAAACAACCTTTGATTTAGCGTGTGACTTTTAACTACATAATAGTCCTCGCTGACAAAATTAATATATGCCCATGAAAGCAAGTGAGAACCTTCAGTGCAGTGTCAGGCTACCGACATTGGTCAGACTGTGTTCTGCCTCACCTTCCTTCTGAGCTGTTCCTTCTCTGACTGTACATGCAAACACACCTTCACAAACGCTACCAGCCAAAACGCCTCAGGCCAGAGCATCAGAATACCCAGCTGCCCTCCTACGGTGCTTCTCCTGGATGGTGAACAGTTACTGTTTCAACAATGTTTTACTGTAAGTGCAAGTTTTGAGGGTTGGAGGGGAAAAGTTGCCTGTGCAACTCATCAATTATGTCTGCTTTAAGAAAGAGGTCAGTCTTTGAAGTCACTATTGTAGCAGCAAATCCATACTTGTTCACATGTTCCACTAAATCACTGCAACAACACAGCCACCCCTGATGTCTGCTAAGTGGCACGGAAACCAAATTTCAGTGTTTTAACTGAAAGACCACCCCATGACTTTTCTTGTTAACAGCATTTCTTATGAATTTCATTTCTGACCTCTTCCTACTTAATAAAACACAGATTCTTTTCACCTATTATTCCAAATAAATAGACAATAAAATTAAAGGTTTATGTAATTTCAAAACCTAAGCAGAAGGAACCAAAGCTGCAGATTAATAAAATGAAAAAGGATACAAAGACAATAAATACACACATTGGGCAAGTGCACTAGATGCTAACTTACTATTTCGTTACTCTCTTCACTGCAATTTATTTCTTGGATCCTCTCCAAAATGGCCTCCTGGGAAGGTTTAACTACTGCAGATCCACCGCTGAGTAGGGTGGCAATTTGCTCTTTAAAAGCCACTAAAGAGCTCTGAGCAGTCATGGCCTCTTCTCTGCTGCTCTTCAAGCTTCCATCCAGCTCACAGGAAGATTTCTTCAGATTTTGCAGTTCACACTTGGAGGCGTCCAAAGCTTTCTGGTTAGCAGTCAGTTTATCTTGGAGGTTTCTGATCTCTATCTCCAAACTCTGTCTCCCTAGTATAGCGCCGTCAAGATCCTAAAATATATAAAAGATTAAACCAGGCTTTTAAAAATTGTCATAACCCCTCCCCTCCACACACAAAGCAGGGAGTAACTCAGAAGCAGGTACTGCAGACAGAGAAACTAGGACCCATGTTGCTCATACGGTGTCAACATCAGGGCTTCATAGGAGAACTCCCCCTGAACCTGATGAAAGCCCAAAGCCTGCTGCAGTCACACTGAAGACTAACCTCTTGCAGTGGCCGTCAAGAAGCAATACATGAATAAAATTTTCAGGTAAACAAAAAACAACTTTTTATCGTAAAACTATTGCTACCTTATTTTTTCATTCAGATACTATGACTTAAAACAAACGGTGAATATGATGTAACACAAATAAAGCCGAAGTACTACACCTCAGAGGGGAAGGAGTAGAGTAGAATATTATATTCCAGTTGGAAGGGACCTACAATGATCAGCTAGTTCAACTGCCTGACCAAAAGAATACACATAAGATCTTCTAATATAGAGTTAAAAGAAGAATTAGAAATGATCTCTAAGATCAGCTTACCTGATGTGACAAAAATTGCTGAGATTATTTATACACAGAAATGGGGAGTGAGGGGCCAAGCAAAAAAAAAAGATGATGACATTACGACAGCATAAAAGAAGGTACAAATGCACAAATACCTATTTGACCTCACAGAAGAAATCCTTAGATTGTGAAACACTCAGAAAAAAAATTCAAAAATTGGATTATTCTGAGCTATGTCTTCTAAAGAAAGCAAAATCCCTATTACCATGAGGTCAAATTTGCCTAAGGAATAGAAGAAAGTCAATGAAGAGCTGTGTCCTTCCACGGAGCCTAAAACTGCCCCCACCTGCTGCTCAGCTGGGCTGTCAATGTGCAAAAACATGACTGGGGAAGGACTAGTGGGATGGCGGTTCTATCCAGTATCCAAAAAAAAAAAAAAACCCATCAGTCCCTTGACATTTCAGAAGTAATACACTCAAAGACAAATGTTGTCTTTGATAGGGAGACAATGTCCCGTAGGATAAGGATACCTGCTG